TGGCTGCCTGCTGGGTTAAACCACCACACAGTATTCACAACATCCCTTGGGAAGCAGTTTCACAGGTTAGTTCCCTGCTCTGTGAAGAACCACCTCTTGTTTGTTTTGATGAAGTTCCTACTACCTTCATTAGCTGCCCCTAACTCTGGTACGAAGTATAAAATTTTAAAAGTGTAAAAAAGCTTTTTCCGCATCTCCATGCCATACATGTTCTTGTAGAACTCCACCATATGCCCCTCTCCTGATCTGGTCTCCACACGCTGGAGGTTTGGCCGATGTAATCTTGCCCATCCTTGTTGCCCTTTTCTGAATTTATCCCAGTTCAACCTTCTCCCACCTCAAGACAGAGGACCAAAACTACATAGTGATAAGGACACATGGATTTACACAGCAGCACAAAGCTGTTCTCTGTTTTTACTGTTTCTTCCCTAGTAATTATTAACATTTGATTTGCTTTTTTTGAGTGCTGCTGAGCTTTGAACTGATATTTTAATGAAACTGTCTGTCATAACACCAAAATCACGCTCCTGAGATGTACTGATCAGTCCCATCATTTTAGATGTACAATTAGGACTCACATTCTTCCTTCATATACATTATATTAATCTATACTGAATTTCATCTGCCATTTCTATTGCAGTCAGCATTGTAGTCCTTCTGTAATCTTTCATGGTGAATCCCTTCTACCGTGAATACTAACCAGTATCATCAGAAAATGCTGTCACCTCTCTGTTCATTCATTTTTCCATTTTTTCATGACCATGCTGAGTAGCACAGGTCTCTGTAGGACTCCACCTGACCATTAACTGATAAATGGATATCTCTGATGTCCTGAAAAAAGGCTATGGAATAGAAAACCTACAGTCTTGCTCAGGTCCAATTTAATTGTATCAGTAAGGTCATATTAAACATGATTCAGTTAAGAGCAATTTTGGTAATTCATAAATTAAAATGTCATTTAGAAAAGAAAAATCAATAGTAATGATCTCAAAGAAGGCTTTAAGTCCTTCAACTTAAATGGCCATAAAGCACTGTACAAACTATACTTCATAAAACTTTCTATAAATTTTAAAGCTATCAATCACTATTCATGAATATATTTCACCATATTTGAGGGAAAAAAAAAGTTATTATCTTGTTCAGCTATAGCAACAGATATAAATTAAATTGCTCAGTGAGAAAGAAACCAATTCTCAGACAGATAATTTGCTCAGGTCACTGGTATCCAGGATTCATGAAGAATGTTTCCTGGTTTTTAATTATATTAATCTAGCATTATAGAGCGTTATGTACCACAGCAACTTAAAAGCCTTTTAGAAATAACTGTCAAGATCTCAATTTTAAGTATCATTTGGAAGCACTGTATCCCTCCCTCCCTCCCAAATTAATAAACTAATTTTAACAAAAGCTCAGAAGATTTACCTTCTGAATTTTTATACCATTCACTTCAAAGTCAGATTAGTTTTTTTTACTGTGAAGGTCTAAAAAAAATGACCCAGTCTGACTCTTCAGCAATTTATAAAGTATGAGAAGATTACAGCCTGAAGTGGTATAATTAGTTCCAAGATCATCATGCTAACTCTAACTACGTATTATTAACTTCAATCTTTTTAAAAGCTAACCTTTTCTTTACAAATGTAGGTAACTTCCGTTTTCTACTCTGTTTATATCCTTGATTTTGCTTCTTTAGTCAAGTAAATGTTTTATCCTTTTAGTAATAAATAAAAGGATTTCTCTACACAGGGAAGTTAATCTGCATTAAATGAAGGCCGACATATTAGAACATTTATTTTGTAAAAGGGAGTTAATTTGGAATACAGCATTTCTTCTGGGACATAGTTCACATACAGAACAAATCAGGAATAGCTTCTTGTGCTGATGAATTAAAAACCCCTGTCATTCTACCACATACAAATATTTTGGGGGGGGTTCTCTTTTGATAGTGACCCTTCCTTGGAGATTTCTAGAGGTAATTAATGCAAAACTCACAACTACTATTATTTAGCACTAATTGGTATATTTTTAGTTACTGGCTGAACAAGCTGAAGATACAATAACAGAAAGCTTGGCATGGCAGCACAAAAAAGTCTGAAGGTCTGCAGTCTGTACTCGCTTTATTAGTGTACAGTGGAGGATGGTTTTGCTGTATGTGAGTATTGCTCATACAACATTCTCTTGAACAAGGGAAGAACTAAAAGGCCTGGATCCCTTCAGTTTGGAGAGAAGGCAGATGTGACTGAAGTTTACAAAGTCATGAAGGTGATGGTTAAGGTGAATGCAGAACTGTTATTCATCCAAGCCTGCAATGCTAGAACAAGGGGCACTTGATAAACCTGGTAAGAGATCAGTTGATCGCAGAGAATAGCGAACTTGTGAGCTTGCTGCGGAGACACACAAGTTCAAAGAGGAACCAGACAAATTTGTGGACAGCAGGTCCATAAAAGCAGATTTCAAGGCTGAGGCAGGGATGTCCTCTGCAACATCCCTAGCAAAACAACTGCAAATGTTGAGGCAGTACGAAGGGAAAGACACAGAAGTGGCCAGGCTCACATGCACTCCCCAAATAACCTCTCCTATTGGCCCTGCTGGAGACAGAACCACAGGTTCTAGGAGGACAACAGGTTTGTCTTATCACTGCGTGTCTGTGTGGCACGGAGCAGAGATTGGAAATACTGGTGAAGGCTGAGTGTTGAACTGGAATGATCATATTCCTGTAGCTGGCTCCCAGTGCGGACAGAGGGAGATCCTATCTACTGGGATATTCAGTGTAGGAAGCCTGTTAATTCCTCAGAACTATAATTCAGTATGTTAGTAAGATCCAAACTAATTTTAAAAATGAGTGCAACTACTCTCATTCCTCCTCAAATGCTTGCTTTGTGAATCTTTAAAAACATTTTGGAAAAATTCATGACTGATTGCAGTTTACACAACAAAAACAAGTGTGTACAGTTGTTGCAGCACAAGCCTATGAACCTCTTACCTTTCGGGTAAATGTCTTTCAAAGGCACATCACCAGGTGCTAAAATTCTGACTATTTGATTAGAAGCCAATAAAGTTACACAATTGGTTTGTTTTGCAGCTCCTGTTTTCCTCCGGGCTCCATAATAAAATGGATCAGAAGGAGAAGCACGTTTGCGACTCAGAGAGGAGTTTCTTTTCCAGCTATACACTTCACTAGGAGACTGCAAGAGAAAAGGAGTCTACTGAACAAAATATTACTATTATTGAACCGAAGAACAAACGTTTCTTGATAAGTTCCACTTCTCATCTAATTTCAAATCAAATGTAGCTACTGTGGTTACCTCTCATGTCACCACATGACAAGGAAAAGATCTGGATTATTTTGTCATTAAAAAATCCTACAGGAGTGAAAAACAACAGACCACCTACACAAGTTTTAGGAATTGAGACTTTGAAGATTTGAAGTTGAATCAACTTTTTTTTTTCATGTTAAACCAGGAAGAGAAAGGATTGAAATAACCTAAACTGGAATCAAACTATGTAACAAACTGCTACCATAAACTAAGTTTCCACTAAAGTAGATAAATGCAAACAGATCTTTCAGTAATGAATTCAAAGCTAGGCATTAAGGCTGGGATTTGGCTCCAGGTTCAGAGACATAAATATAGGTGTCCACATGTGAGCCAAGTGCTTCATCTCCCGCTATAGTAGAGCCTAGAGAATAAATCTCATCTTAAAGAATGTTTGGTCAGCTGAACATTGCTACTACAAATAAGAGCTTAGAAACCTTGTTCATCCTACACATCTACACTATTAACACTAAACACTGAATCTAACGTTTTGTCCCACCACCCTCACATTCACCTTTAGCACTCCCTCTCACTAGCACTCATACACATGGACATTTAAAACCATATATAAGGAAAGATTCAGTTTAAATCAGGGAGAGCAAAATTCTTCATCACCAGTGTTGATAATGAAGTGTGTAGCATCTTTAGTACTCCCTTCTCTAAATTACCTCCCTTTTCCAGCAATAAACTCACATCTATTATAAATAATATGAAAAGCTAGTATAATCTACCTGGTAATATAAATCCAAACCAAGTGAAACTCAAAAGCTAATTGCAAAGACAGGGAATGTCTTATTAACAAAAACCATATTTTTGAATGATTTTCGATTTCAGAGTATCTTCTTCAGTCATTTGGCTTTGCCAAAATTCATGTCTGTTAACAGTTAAATTTTCTAATTTGCCCCAATTTATTAAGCAAACATCACATAGAATTATTTATTCCATAAGTACCATCCTTTTTACGCATCATTAGGTAGTAAATATAAATAAATCCAAAGAATTAAACATACTGCTTTTATTTTCCCTGTTTTTACCTCCACTCCTTGCAAGAGCCTTAGTCATTAAACTGCTAAGTTTCACTTTTCTTTCTGGTCCTATTCTAATTGTGTCACAGGAGTGAGACAATTACATGCAGTATTTACACTTAACTATACTATTAAATAGTGAAGGGGCTGTATAGTTTGTTACCATTTTCTTTTTTTCTTTTTTTTAAATCTAGTGTCTTGCTAGCTGCTACACACTGAGCAAAAAGTTCACACTGACCAGTCCAAAATGATACTGATACTCTTTTTCTCAGTGGTTGTATTTAATTAAAAATCTATAAAACCACATGATTTAGAAAATATGCCTCTAGCCAGCACTATTCAGAACTTACCTACAATGAATTTGGTCATGGTGCTAGACATGATGTTGTCCAATTTCTTATCACTTCAAACTCCATTGAAATCCCTCTAGATTAGACTACCCTACCAAATGGTGTACACTACATGAATTTGTCATTCACCACCTTTTTCCATATCATTTGGTAAACAGGTACTTAACTGGTTACAGAATAAATGAGATCGTATTACTTCATTGTATAATAATGCTAAGTATTTACCAAGAGGTCTGGGAAACCAATAACAATAGTAGCATAATTATGTTCATCTGAGAAAATCCTGTTGGGGGAGCTGATCTTTTGTCCCACAGCTGCACTGAGGTTTTCTGAAGATAGCTGGTCACTTGAAACTGCATGCGGCACACACAGTTCTGACGCTAAACGAGGAAATCAAACAAAACGAAAGTCATTAAATCCAGATGTGCAATAGGAAACAATATTAACTGTAAGAGCGCTGAGCGCTGATCGTTGCTATTACTTTGAGCGTAAAATTACTAAAAAGCAGAAGATTTGATTATACTATACTATAACACAGAAAAGAAGTCAGGAAATACTGTTATTTTTGTAAAGTTAAGTATTTAAAATCAGGAAATACTAGCCTTGTAGTTGCTTATACTACTTAATTTTGCCTTCTGCTGTGGAAATAAGGCAGGAAGCCTATGGAATAGAGCAGCATGTGATCTCATTGAAGATTGTTATAACGTAAATGCATAAAAAAGCAAAATGTAGGTTTGCAAAAGTAAGTGTCAACGTGACATTTCTTGGTAGCTGTCTTGCTGTCTTTGCAATTTAAGTAATGTTATTTGTAACATATTTCTGGTAAATAATAGTCTAGTTTTCTTTTTCTTGAAGCTAAGGAAAACTACATTTTATTCTGTGCAACTGTAACAGTCCTTTAACCTTGCCTCAAATTATCAACACAGTCAGAACCCGCTATCTTTAGTTCTGCAGCATACACTATATCCACTTCAATGGGCAGACTATCTCGTTTACCTGGCAGCAGGAGAAAATCTTTCCTCCCTCAAAGGATGAATGGGCTACTGGTTTGGGCCAGTGGCAAACCCACACTGGTCTACCTTTTCTTAGTTCTCCTGCCACAGGTTCTGCCTCAAAGAATGAGAACAGGCTGAAGATGTTACATTCGGGGTTTGCTGGACGATTTGGAAAAAAGTGGAGAGGGGATATGGTAACTTTTTAGATTGAAAGAGAAGAAATAAGATAACAAAGGATAAAAATAGCACAAAAAGCATGCAGCAATAAACTATCCACAAATACTTTGAGACTGGAAATTATAATAACGTTTCTACCCATCTGAGGAATGATACTCTATAATGGTTTCTAAATAAGGTAATAAAAGGAAGGAAACTACTGTGCTCTGATGGAGCTTGATAAGTTAATAGAGTAAACTGTACAAGAGATAAAAAGGATTCTAGACATTTAAGCTGTGGTTAGAGTCTCTGGTATCCAATTTGTTGCTGTTTGTGTAAAATAAACCATATTTGTTATTTGTCAATAACATCCTCATTTGGATGAGGCTTTGGGCAACGTGGTCTAGTGGAGGGTGTCCCTGCCCATGGCAGGGGGGTTGGAACTAGATGATCTTTAAGGTCCTTTCCAACCCAAACCATTCTATGAGTCTATGATTTGCTTGCATCATGTTTACGTTGTGTTAATCTCGTTCTTCATACTTATGCTAGCCACAAGGACCAGCACAAAACTTTTTCCCCACTTTGACATACATAAAGTGGTTTCTCTGTTTTTTCCTCTGTCTCTCTGAGACACACCCTAGATAGGCCAAAACCTATAAACTGTTAGGTGTGATGCACATGTACTTCCAGGGTTATCAAACCAGGGAGACTAAAGATTTTGTGCACCATGATCAAATACTCAAGGTTGAAAATGTCATCAGAAGACAGGCCGATCTTTCCAGGCAGGATGATGACTGCTGGAGATTTCTGCTGCCTTCTGTAGCTAAGACATGCCGCAAGCCTAGCATCATCTGGGAATTGTACCGTACAAATTTCCCTCATCTTTTAACAGAGGTGTGACGGCCTCAATGCCTCCTGCACACTAGCTGTAGAACTTCAGAAACTGAGACTCCTGTTCTAACAGTAGGTCTTTTGTAATTGTACGTGTTGGGAAATGTCTTCTAGCTCATTTGAGTGTGCATAACAGACCTGCAACAGCATACAGACTGAACTCATCAACATATTTGGTCCCTTCTATTCTTATGTTCTAATTCCTGCCTAGTCATCTTTTTTTCTTTTCCATTCTGTATGCTTGTACATTTCCTGAAAGTCCATGACTAAGGGTCTTAAATGCTACAATGAAACAGAGATGCTTTATTCAAACAACCTTAAGTTTGAGCATGGAATTTGCCATGCTTTGTGAAAAGTTATTATTAACCAAACATGATAAGGGGAGAACAAAAAGAGAATCAGAGAGAAGGTTACCCAGACCTTTAAAAAGAGCCTTGTTTGTGCAGCTGCAAACACAGAAATGATTAAAAAAAAAAAAGAACAAGCCAAGCTTGCATTCAATACCTGTTGTTAAGCCAAATCCCATGTCAGCTGGCTCTTCACGCAATACATACAGCTGGCAAACCTCACTGTCCTCAGCTTCCATATCGGCACGCTTGGTTAAAAGATATTTCCTGTAAAGGATACACATCTCTAATAAATCTTGATTAAGCTTGTAACTCTAAACAAGGACTTTTATCTTCTGAAATGGTGAAAACATTCTACATTTATATAAACAAGGTTATCAACACCTTTTGCTAAAACCAAATATGATTTACCACACATCTGTGAGATAGGAAAGGGTAAGCCAGTAAGTGGCAGATTTGTTTTCTGGTAACTATTTACACACTTTTATTTGCTGTGCATTTATAAAAATAAGACAGCAGAGTAATATTTCTTTCACGTGACCATGAAAGTAAAGCAAGCAGGCACTAACTCTGGACGATGTGGCCATATTTCCAAAGCTAGATCCACCAACATTCTCATTTCTAAAGATCAATACCACTTCGGTAAAACCAGTATTAATGTGAATACAATCAAAGCTAGTCTAGATTTTCAGAGGCATAAATTTAGGCAGGCATATCCTGTTCATTTGCTACTCCAAAACCCTACCTGCACTTTCACCAGAGCGAATCTGCATCTTAAACACCAACTGTCTAGCTAGTCTCACAAACTGAAAATAAAACAACTCTGAGACCAGGAGTGAAAGTTCTGAACATAAATGAGAAACAAACAAGAAATAATGCCATCAGGAAAACTAGGATAACTAACTGATTTGTTTCATTTTCCACCAAGAGCCACCGGTCTTCAGCCACCAGGAAAACAGATTTCAGATTGATCGGAAGTGAGATGGTATGAGTTTGACCCTCTAATACATCCAGTACAATAAGGCGGTTTCTGTAAAATTGGAAACCAAGAAAAGAATAATCAGACAGGGATGTACATGAGGAGATATGTTATTAATCAATATAATACAAGGATATAATTTACTCTCACCCTGTTTCTTTGTAGAACACCAGCCAGTTTTTGTGTGAAAACTCTCGGCACATTTTGTAGTTGCTCTGTATAAAAATATGTCATACAGCAATTAGTGTTTGTTATATTTGTCCTAGTGAGTTGCCCTGACTTCCCTGAAAGTGTATTACATTTTTTCCTTTATGTATTACATTTTTCCCTTTATTTATAATAATCCACAGCATCAGTCACCTCTCAAAATGCTATCATCTAGCCTGCCTTGTCCCAGGTCATATAATTGCATCATAATTCAGTTCATTATTTTGGATGTAAGCCCTTGTAACAAAATGTCGCATTATTCCCAGTTCTAGCTCTAAAGAAGGGTATTTTAAAGGTATGTATCCTCAGACAACACAACTTATTTGTATTTTTCATATCGCTATTCTATAACAATGCTATTTTATGTGTAAGGCATTTAAACATACATAAAAGTAAACAAGTGCTTGGGCTGTAAGAACAGAAAGATAAAGGATCCTGGGATCCTGGGGCAGTTTTTCCAATATTGAGTGTTGATTTAAAAAAAAAAACAACTTAGTATAATAGAGGCAGGTGCTATTCCTCACCATCTCTTCTTTGCTGCTCCACCAAGATGTTCTCTTAGGAGATTCTTGAGCATCTGGTAAGAGCGAAAGTCGGCGAAGGGCACCATTTTTTGTATCCAGCAACAACACAACATTGCTCTGTAAATGAAAAGCAGATCCATGTACATCTCAAGCCTGTTTAAGAGACTACAACAAATCTATCCGAAGCACTTTTGCAACTCTAGCGACTTAGGACATTTTGAAAAGACGATCTAGATTTTGTTGGAAAACGTAGGCTGAATCTTCTTGGTTCGTTTCATAGCTCATGGAGAAATTTAACTGCAGAGGTTAAGTATGTGCAAAAAGGGCCGGAACAATATTACAGTTTTTCCATAATGTTTTATCTATCCATCTCACATTCACTTCTGCATAAGCTCTAGGAACTAGACTAGCATGGCTTACATATCCACACTGTAGCCAGCTACAGGTGAGACACCAGTTTTGTTCTGTCAAGTCACTAAAATATTACATTTCAGTGTTTTATGTTTTCTCAGCATTCCTCTAAAGTACCCATTACTTAAGTTACACTGAAGGTGAAAAAATGGTGGAGAAGAAATGGCTTAGTACTTTCTCTCCAAGCTCATACTTCTGATAACATGGAGCCTACTAAATATCCCAGTGCATGACAATCCTTCTGTGGCCTGCATGCTCAGACAGCTTACAGCGTCAGAGGTAGGACAGCTCTTGGAGGACAGCAGGAGGACTAAGAGGATGGAGATCAGAAGCAAGACAGGATACCGAATAGAGTGGTACAAGCGTCCTGCACATACCCCATGTGAAAATACAGTCTGCTAAATTTTGAACTTCTTCAGATTTCTCAGTTTGTTACTCAATGCCCCAGGGTTCAAACATGATGTCAAATGATGGGGACATTTTAAACATTTGTTTTTATAAACTACTATAGCTGCTCCTAATGTGTTTAACTAAGAATTCAAGAGAACAATCATTCAGGACCAACCTGAATGAAATGAAATTTAAAAGGTACAAAAGAACAAGTTAATTAAGCCTTGGGTTGAATTTTTTTGTTTGCCATTCAAGGAAACGTTAGGTTCTGCAAGGACATTAGGTTCTCCAAGGACTTACTAAAAGTAAACTGTCTACGTACAACATCTGCAATAACGTGCACGATAGACGTTAAGGGAGTAAAACATAAATTCCCACAAATTCTCCTAAATAAAAAAAATACAAACAATCTGAGTCACAGCTGTTTTGTTCTTTTTGGGTACGCTTCATACTTTCACTAAGATCATTTGGGAGAATTAACTTTATTTAATAATTACAGTCATTTGAAGCTAAATATGGTAAAGCATTTAAAACATTACTATGTTATTTGGAGCATTTTGGAATTTCAGCTAGAGTTCAATACCTCTAAAAAAAGAAGTTTGCTTATGTATTACAAACCAAAATTATAGAAGTGTGGTTCAGGAAAAAAAATAGGGCATTTGCTTTGGATTTTGGTTTTCTGCCATATTTTATTTATATAATTCTGCAACAGCACCGCTGATCCAAAGCAATGCATTAGCCTTCCACATGAGCTAAAGAACACATATGAATCAATTACATTCTTCCACTTAGTGTTAAATTTATGAGAGCAGTTGGTAATATAAAAAGCCTCTCTACTCCACCCCTTTTGATGTTAATGGTTTCCTTCTGTGCTAAGTGACTGATGTATATTCTGTCTGTGTTTAAGAATAGATTTTTGCGTCACTTGTGAACACATCCAAGAGCAGCTTTGGCAACTCTTCAAGTGGGCTGGGAAAAGACATTGGTGTGCAATTCCGCTGTGTTTGTTCTTGACTGGGAGAAAAGTAACCTTTGGGCGACCTCCCGACCCTGATGTCTGGAATTCCAAACTCTGGACAGATGCAATAGCCAATCTCGTGAAGTGGTGTGCCTTTATTTTTAGTTACTGCAAAGTTTCCCTTTCCTTGCTGCTGTTTTTATTTTAGCCAGCATTTTCCTCTTAAAAGTCCTTAAACCAAACGGGGCTGTGATTTCACTTTGCTGGTATGGGAAGTTGTTCCTTATGGTCTGCAAGACAGAGAGGAGAGTTAGGGGAAGGCACACACTCCAATTTCAGAGTGGGACAGTACAAACAAATCAGTTTAACCCTCTTGATTCTTCTCTCTACACTCACTCTCAGTTTCATTCTCTTCTGCCCTCAATGCTCACGTCTCTCAAGCAAGCAAGCTCGTGAACTCTTCTTAGCTGTCAGCTTCAGAAAAGGCTGATTCTTAGCTTGGTAGGGTAACCCCTCTGTACACTCTCCACCTTGCCTCCTGTCCCACAAGCACCTTTTCTATTAGTGCCACTCAATGACCCCAAGTGATGCAAAGGTATCAATCCTGACCTTGTAACTATTAGGCACAGATACAGACGTATCATATTGTTCATTAGGTTCAAGTGAAAAAAGTCTGTGCAAGAATTCACGGTTTGGGGCTCAAACTTTCATGCCTTCAGAGGTGGGAAATATATGCAAGGAGATTACTGGTCTTCCAATTAAATGCGAGTGGTGTCTTTCAGATGAGTTAGGAGACTTGATTGTACTACAGATTTCAGCAAACTGAGAACAGTAAATAGAGCTAGAAGCTTTGTCCTTATAGAAAAGGAAAGTCTTCACCTTTTCTATAGAAGGTGCACACCTTTCTATATAAGCATACCTTTCCTTTTCTATATAGAAAAGGAAAGTCTTCTATAATATCCAAAAAAGAAGAGAATTTAATAACATCAACTAGTTTCTTTAAGAAAATATATTCTTCCTCCTGAACACATACATCAGAATATTATGGAGACTAGAGGTTTCAAACATTACTACTAGTAGGTTGCAGGTCCTTCCATACACAGGTGCCCTGGTTCTGGACACCACTTGTGTTTCAGGCCAGATTACAAACTGTTAAAAAAAAAAAGGCTTCTTTTAAAGGATGTTTGCCATCTTCTACATGTACTGAGGTGGATCTGTGTCAGCTTCTGCGTCACAGACTCCCTCACTCCTTTGCTATCGGAGAGCTTTGACACAGAGCTCCAGCAGCACGTGGGACAGGGAAAAGCATTTCCCTCTCTCCCTACACCACTTTCTGACTGAGAGAGATAAAAGCAGAGGTAAAGGATGCTGGCAGACTGTAGGTTACTCTGTCTGTCCAGCTGTAGCCTTTCAACAGAGCAAAGTGCTTGTAAGAAAAAACAAAGTGTGCAGTTAACATATGCAAATCTTCTCCATGTGCATTTTCCTCCTATAATCCCATATAAAATCACATGTAAAGTTATCTAAATTATTTTTAGTCCATATTTGGTCTCTTTCCATAAAAGCAATAGGTGCAGAAAGAAAAAAAAAAGTGAAATAGGCGGGCATGAAGCTTTATAGGAAATAGGGTACGCCCTGAAGTACTCATGGGGAGGACAGGGCAGAGGCACTGCTGCTTTGAAAAGATGAGTGCAATTCCCATCTTATTAGGAAATGACTTGAGATTTCTGAAGAGGCTTTTCAAAGTTTATCAGCTTTGAACAAAGAGTCAAAACAGGCTGCGCACACCGAGACCAATGGCCACTGTGAGGAACAGAATCGTCCACTCTTTCTTCCAAGAAGATATACAGGTGGCTTAAAAGCAGATAAATCTCTGACTTGTCCTATTAAGTTAAATCCCCAAGGAGTTTAGTTTTAGTAAACTTTTATTTAAAAGGACAGAAAGGAATGGTGATTTTTCATTTTATTTCACTGAAGGGCTGTATTGAATCCAGACGGATGTGATCTGCGAAATAAATCACACAAGCTTATTTGAAGAGCCACAATATTGTCATCTCATCCTTTCCAATAAGGTTATCCTTCATTTAAAATCGTTCTTTTTATAACTTAGTCAGATACATTCATCTCCAAAGACCTTTACGAAACAAAAAGTTGTGAAAAATGTTTAGCTTTTGTACTGTCTAATTAATGGATTATATTATTTATGAAATATCAGCTGTCAAGTGGACTTTTTTATTTAATAAATGCAACTTCTTATTTCTATAAATATTGTTAATACTTCTTGGTCTTTTTGCAAGTACATGTAAACAAACATCTAAAGCATCACATACATCACTTACATTACTTATTTTTCTTGAAGATCTCTCTGATGCACCTTTAGCACAAGTAGCTAACCCTTGGAGCCTTGCCCAAAATACAGATGTGACACTAATCTACTTGTCTGAACATGTGAATGCTGCGAATTCGGAGCTCACGACTGCCAGTAACTGCAGCACACCCGAAGACAGGCATCTTGACTATATGTCAAGGCTCCTTCTGCAGCCAGTGGAGAGAAGCACCTCCAGATGACAATTCACCATGCTCTACCTTAGCTGGGATGAACCGCATGCAGATCACCTTTATCCTCCCAACAAATAGAGAAGGTACTTGGAAGGTACCTGCTACCATCAACAATAATGGATTTCATTTAATATACAGCAATATCCACCTCATTTCACAGCTGCACAAAGAAAGCACATGATTTTTTCATGGCTCCACTGCAGGAAGAGTTGGGAATAAAACCTAATCTCTGTGTGGAAAAGTTAAACTACTTGAGAATCCTTCTTTTGATTCAGTGGGAACTAGAAATGCAGAGATCCTAACTCATGAGCCCTAACGTAAGGAAGGATTGCAGTGGCTGTGAAGACTACAAACAGCAGCATTTGTCTGACCTGTGCTTTGGTGCCTCATTGAAAAAAACAATCCCAAATAAATTACTAATGTAGTCCATGGACACAAACATGCAATCACAAGAGAATCCTTTTTCAACGTTTTTTCTGTTCAAGAAGCTTACTTGAGTTCCTCAAGAAGTCTTAAATTACTTTTGAATGGTGTCCTAAGTATACAATTACATTTTGCAGCCAAGTTTGTAGTTTAATGAAACATATTTTCACACTTACAATAAGTAAGGTCTATCTTAATGTTAACACTATGTAAAAAGATAATGCAAAGCATTCAGAATATTGTAATTCTGTATTATTTTCCAGCAGTGTAAAATAGGCTTATTTTCAAACAGGATTTGTTCACCTGTAGCACTTGCTAAGAAAGGCAAGACTGAAACTGGCAATATTTCAGCTTTGCCAGAGAAAAACATGAGGTTACAGCTCAGCTGAAGTCACCTGGAAAGGGGCACTGAGCTACCATAGTCTCTTCACAGAACAAACTTTACTTCAGAGTTTAATTCATACTGTCACTGAAAAATACATTCCATGAGGACAGGCAAAACCAGTCACATAGTTAGCTACCTAAAGCTTCACAGATAAACCTTTGATAAAAACCTCACTGCTGACACCAAATGCTACTGTGACTTGGTTAAAAACAAAACTAGCAGGACGATTATTTTCACATTAGGAATTTCAGAGACTCAGAAAGCAAGGAATATTGCTGGGCTTTATATTAAAAAGCATGAGACATTCTAAACATTCTTAGACATGAGATAGATAGACTGCCAGTTTACAGTTTCCTGCATTGACTTCACCAAAAAAGGCCAAGGATTGTTTATAACAGAACAAATGTGTTATGTGCATCTCAAAATAGCCCAAATGGTACTTCTATAGCTGTTCAAGACAACTGCACAGGCAATCACCACAAGTAGGTAACTTCAGAATCATATTTTTTTCCAGCTGGCATCAGAAAGTGTCCAAGGCAAAGCTAAAGAAAGCATAGGCAGTTCTACTAAAGGCGGAAGAATTGTGTTTCTCACAAAGCATCATGCTTATCTTTATTGTTTGAGACCAGAAAGTGGCCTCAACACTTAAATGTTCCTGGTACAACAGCATCGCAGAGCCACGAGTTATGGAATGACTGAAAACTACATGATACCTCAACTCAATGTGGAAAGCTTCTTCTAGACTGGAGTCTCCCACGTACTGAAAAATGGGCAGAAGAAATTCAGAACAACAAAAGAAAAACCAACCAACAATAACAGACCAGATTAAATGCTCATGTCAAACCACTATGACTGGTAGGTAACATAATAAACTATTATTAATGTAAAAAAATGAGCAGCAGCAGTACTGTATCAAGTGTTGTCTCTTCCCACTCCTTGGCAAAGAAGTTTTGAATTGGAAATGTTCCAGTCAGTACACTGATAGTAACGGAAAATACGTGGAAGGTATGCAATACTTGACTTTAAAAAAAGGATTAGAGTCAAACCAACACTGAAGTCATCAGTGGTTCTAAATTTACATTGCTGATACACTACATGTCAAGGCTTACATAGTCTTCTTTCTAGTCTCAGTACTTCAAATGTTACAGAGTGAAAAATATCAGGATTCACAAAACAAATCAAAAATAGTGGCACGAAGCAAATACAAGCAACATTTTACTTTGTGACTCAGAAAATATCTCTTCATATACTATTTGAAAAGTAAAAAGGAGACAAGATTGGAGCAGAATTTAAGTTCATAGCACAAATCAGCTTACTTCGTACTTTGCACTTTGCAAACTGTGCTGGTTTTGGCTGGGTTAGAGTTAATTTTCTTCGTAGTAGCTAGTATGGGGCTATGTTTTGGATTTGTGCTGGAAATTCTTGATAATACAGAGATGTTTTTGTTATTGCTGAGCAGTGCTTACACAGAGCCAAGGCATTTTTTGCTCCTCACACTACCCCACTAGCGAGTAGGCTGGTGGTGCACAAGAAATTGGGAGGGGACACAGCCAGGACAGCTGACCCCAACTGACCAAAGGGATATCCCATACCATATGATGTCAAGCTCGGCATATAAAGCTGGGGAATAAGAAGGAAGAGGGGGATGTTCGGAGTGATGGCATTTGTCTTCCCAAGTAACCGTTACACGTGATGGAGCCCTGCTTTCCTGGAGATGGCTGAACACCTGCCTGCCCATGGGAAGTGGGGAATGAATTCCTTGGTTTGCTTTGCTTACGTGCACGGCTTTTGCTTTACCTATTAAACTGTCTTTATCTCAAATCATGAGTTTTCTCACTTTTACCCTTCTGATTCTCTCCCCGCACCCCATTGGGAGGGAGTGAGCGAGTAGCTGCATGGTGCATAGTTGCTGGCTGGGGTTAAACCACGACACAAACATTTGATGCTTGACTGAGATTTCTGAACTCAGCTCACTATCTCCCTTTCTCCCATGAAGGCCAATGTCCCTAAATCAGTAAGAGGAATAAGATAAGCAGAAGAATTCAGCTTCAAGAATGCAAAAGGATGCTGTCTAGCTACAAAGTGCAAAAGGAAAATCTCCACACAAGAACTGAAGCTGAAGGCAACTCCCAAGTTCAAAGTATAGTAAAAAAAAACATTCAGAAGGAGGTAGGCTTGTCCAGGCTATTTCAATCTATAGAGGTAGACTCCTTGGCAATCCTACCCTTATGATAATACTTTGCTCATCACTAAACATTTAGCTGTATTTTAATTTTTTTTTACCTCCTCCTCATGTAGAACCACTTGACCTTTGAGTGGATTTCCCAGCGGTGCCACAGTCACAAAAGGTTGCCAGACATTTCCAACTGTTCTTGGGAAGAGGTCATAAAGATCCACAAAGTACCCACTCTTACTAGAAACATTCATGAAATACAAGGAAACAGGATTGCACGCAGTAACGTAAAGAACATTTTCAGCTTCATCTTCTGAAATAAAAAAATACAATTAATGAAAGGCTACTGACATTGTGCATTGCTCTTCTGGAAATATATATGTCATAAATTCATCAGATGATATAGCAAAACATACAGCAAAATTACCACTGTTGACACAGGAAGATAAATAGAGAAATAGTCTCTTGATACTAACTAACTAAACGTTAACAGGCAGAGTCTTGCCACAACACTATTAACTCTTTTAAACAAGTAGCCCAAGGCACGTTTGTGTAGATATGACTGCAGTGCCTGCCAGCTGCTAGTATATACAAAATCCATCCAGAGGTTTTTGTTTGTTTATAAACTTGGTTCTCCCTCCTTCTCTATCTCATCCTCCCTTCAATTAATACATGTAATAATTAAACACAGGATGAATGCAAACTTCCTATGGAACTTTTCACATACAGCACCTTCCTGACCGATTTTGGACAATCCTTAAAATTAATCCAAAGCCATGTAATTTCTGTTTCACTATCATAAAAGTACAATAAAATGTATTTGAAGCTATGGCTACAAGCAGAAAAGGCAGCATTCAGTACTGATCATTAGCGATTTGTTTATAACAGACAATAACTTTAGAAATGTTTAATGATGAACCCTAAAAACATTTATGAATATTCCCAATGATGCAATTCACTTTAGGACATAAGTACTATAGGAAACTAAGGCAGGCTTGATTCAGTGAGAAAGAATTTTAATTGGTATAAGCGCAGGAAAAAAAGCGCCTAACACTCTGCAAGTTACAAGATTTGTATTGAAACTGAATTGACCTAGAGAGAGAGGAAAAGACAGAGAATTGTTTTTCTGAAGCAATACAGTGTTAAACATAAAAACTAGACAGACTTGCAATTTTGTGGTTGTGTTCTACTTTAATTACATATTCTTCTCTTAGTTTGAGAAGGATGCATATCCTTACAAAGACCAAAATATCTCAGTGAAATTATGCTCCCATTTCCGTGGCTGATTATTTTTGTATTTCATCTACTGATAAAAAAATAAAGTGCAAAAAGATAAGTTATTATTCCAATACTCCATTCCTATAGTCCATATCCTCCATTCCCATATTCCAATTCTTAGAGTATTATTCCCATACTCCATTGCAAACATAGGCAGAAATACACACTATTGTAAATGCACTGAAGTGGTGTTATTATACTTAGAATCCCTCATATTGCCCTCTTATATTCTGCCACTGGCTACTGACGAGCACTTAAGAAGTCAACAGCCTAGTTCTTCTTCATATCTAGGATATTTCATGTATTTATAATATTTGGGATAGTTACAAAAGCTACTAGCTTTTCTTACCACACCTTTTGTTACTATGACATCGCAAACTAAGTTGACTTCACCCAAAGGCAGTGTCCAAAAAGCGAGTTCTTCTGTAAAACTGAGGGACCTGGCTTCATGTCGTTCCAGTGGAAATCCTTGAATATTTAAGTACACAGGGCCCTAAAAGAAATTTTCACAATGAGGGCTTGCTAAAATATTTCACTCACCATTCTTTATGGAAACTAGAAGTCTTCTTTAAGACAATACTATTAACAATTGAAACAGACCAATTAATAAATAAAAGGGAAGAGGAAATTCTTTTCTGCCAGCTCTCTGAATGTCCATACTGCCATTTTCTTTACAGTGTAGAAACCATCGTGCCTTTCCTCCTTAGTCTTTGTTTGGTTTGAAACTTTTATTGCTCAGTGGCATGAAGGAGGTATCATGTATTGATAAAGTACAGTCCATACAAAGCAAAAATCAGAATATTTTGTTTCAGAGAAGTTCAATGGCAATTTCTTATTATGTGAAGTTTAAATCTCACCCTACATCACATTAGCAGTTCATGTTTTTCCTTATTCACTGGAGTAATAATTACCGAAGTTAAGCCAAGAACTCAAACCTGAAAAGGACTCAGAAGCTTTGGCTGCAGGTCAAATTGTACCAAAGGTTCAGATTCAAACTTGGCAGTGCCAAAGACCCATAATAATTCAGCTGCATGCAAAATAGAAACAGAAAACAGCTTTCTTTTCACTCTCTGATCTTATGAAAAATTGAGATCTGGGGCCTGAAACCAGCCACCTCCAAGCATCCAGAACAGCTACAAAGTTCCTTCAAATATGGTATTTTCAATATGCTTATAAAAACCTCTTTTCAAGAACTTCTGACCAAACTCACTGATTTTTAAAGCATATCTCACATTTTGAGGGCTAGGTATACAAAAACATGTATTTCTCTAGTCAGTATTAAAAAACCTAAGAACAGGTAACAAGCACCACATTTTGTATATATGCTTTTACCTGAAGAAATTAATCACATTTCAGATTTTTTTGCATCCCAATACATAAAAACAGTGTTACATGAATTAAAATAAAAGTAAAAAGACAAACCTTTACATCTATTTTTTGAGTTTCTGTTGGACACAGCAGTTTCTGTTGTGCATTCCCCGGCTGATCGACCTTCCAGTAGCCCATAAATTTATGATCTGGTAATGGCAGTCTGTCAAACAATGTAGGAACAAACAAATTTTTACATTCATTAACCAGAAACTACTATGGAATAAATCATTTAAACAACTGCATTTTTCCAAGGAGACATATCTGAAGATTCTCTTGTAAAGAATGCTTCCTCGCTAAAATATTTCATTTCTTTTACATTTTAAATCACAAAACTTTTAGTCTTCTATTACAGTCACAATCCAAAAAGCATCAAAAATGAAGCAGCAATTCACATAATATGGCCTCAAAAAGAAAACTTTTCCAGTTTGAACTATTTGAGATATGTAATAAAATATATCCAAATCATCTCTGCTTTGCTTTGTTCAGATGAAGCAGGGTGTGATAGTGCCACTTAAGGAACTCCCGTTGGTGGCATTCTCATCTAAAAAACCAGCAGAATAAGCACAATAAACACCATGGCAAGCTAACCATGCAATATAAGTTCAATGAAATATTTCCATATATTTTGCTGCTCATATGAACAAACGCAAAGGAATACAGACGTGAGTGTTTCTCATTGCATTCTGGCCAGTACAGTCTACAGAAAGGACAGGGACATCTTTGAAAGCCTCAGTAGCCTGCCTTGGTCTACTTTCTTCATCTCTGTACCTTTTATTTAGGGAAGAAATACATGGGCGACAGCAAAGCTCACTTGTATGACAAAGTAAGTTGACAGCAAAATAGGGACAACGCAATTTTTATTTCTTTCCTCTGAAGTGATTTGAAACCACTGAAAGGAGTTTGACTTTGTTAATTGGCATGAATACCTTCAAGCTAATGAACTCATCACTTTTGGTTTCTTTTATTTGGGATCAGTTGATCCTAATGAGATCTCCTATCAAAACTATATTCTGTGTTACATGGCATTGCACATTATTGTACAGCTACAGGACTTGGTAAAAGAACAGAAGACCTTCCTTCTCCCAGTTTCTGTAAACATCTCCAGTCCATTTTAAGAAAGTTCTCTTAGACTGTTTGTTAAAAGTCTGTGCGTGTTCTCTTCTGACTTTGATGATGCTGATTCCTACTGTTACAATTATTTCCCCTCTCCCCACCAACCAACCTGGCCCCTTTAGATATTAAGAGGCTTGTTTCATTTCTTCTTGATATTCTTTTCAGAATAAGAAGGGATCCCAAATAAAAAAAACCCAGTTGGACCATGTATGAATCATGGGGAATTTTTTTCACCTTTTTTTTTTCCACTAAAAACATAAAGGAAAATTCAGGGAATGAACACTAATATCCTCTAATCTTTGCAACTTAAGCAGGAAAGCTACATTAATATTTATTACTGGTATATTGACACCAAATCTCAAGCAACCTGGAGACGCCAGTATTCACAGGCGGACAGTCACTCAGCCTCCATCCCCATTTGCATTTGGACCATCTGCCAAGGCAGTCAGATAGCCAAAGACACTTTTTGCAAACAGAAAATGGTTTGGATGCTATAGATTGTTAGTGCTCATAGATAAATATCCAGCTGTCAGTAATATGCCATTGGGGCATGTCATGAGGAAAGTGCATCTCATTAATTCCCTCTCATAGTCAAAAAACCAGTAGAGTCTTCATTGCCTGTTTGTTGCCTAGTTAAGAATATCAACAGATACCAATGTTTGAAGAGTGATTTATTTTGCATTCTTCTTCACTTCAGTTTGCATTTTTCCATTCTTTACACCTAGCTAGTCTAGCCAGATTCTTCCCAGATTAAGAAAAGAAATTAAGCCAGATTCAAAAAAACCCCCCAAAAACCAAAACCAAGTACAATACATAGTAGATTACAACATTCAACACCATTAGGAAAAAACATTCAGGATCCACTATTTCAACATATACACAATTCTTAGGTAAATTTATTCAAGCAGTCAGAAAATGGGCTTACGGTCAAGTCACTAAACTAACTGTCAGTTTATCCATGAACTGGAATTTTACTTCAGGCTTCCATTTGGCTTTCAAAATAATTTGTTGGCAAAACATTGGTTGTGTCTTGAGCCAAAACTGTCTTATGTGCAAAAAGAAACTGGAGACTTTTTTTCGCTATGATGACTCCAAGTAGCATAATCTCCGATATGCCTATAATCAGCAATAATTGTTTCCCATTAGCTCAATGGAACATCAACTTCCACCAGTATTTGGACTTCAGTTTTAATTCCTTACACATTACTCCCATGGACAACATCCTAGAAATCAATGGGTTCACTAATAATCATGAATACTTATTAAATTTTAAAACAAAACACATGTTAATAACTAGCTCTAACCAAATGCTCTGCTTTATATAGCAACAGAATTACAGATTGCATTCCCAAAGAAACAAAACATTTCCACTCTGGTTCAGCTTTCTGGAGATTTGCTTTGCTAATGGTTTCTCTCTTCCCTCAGGAAAACTGATTTCTCCTTTCTCCGAGATTCTTGAGGTTTTGTTCTTTTCCCTGTTTCTGAATGATTTAGTTTCTCTGGGGCAGCAGACCAAGTCATCATGAACAGCAAAGAGGGAGGAAAGGTAGATCAGAATTTAAGAATAAAACAGAAAGCAGAATTCACAATACAGAGTTCTTTGTCAAGAGTAATAAGATTAATCTTATTCTTCCAGGGCCTGACAATTCTTTTTTAGTCCATCTCACAGCTCTCTCATATAAAACTGGTCTAACAAAGACTAAGCTGGTGGCATTAAAACTCTTATAACCAATCTGCCTCTGAATGATTTTCAGGAGAGAGTGAGGATGCAGAAGGACTGGAACAACATGCTCACACTGAAAACGTGTGTGCATCTTAACAGTGTTCCTCTAGTGAAAATATATGATACGCAGTGAAGGGGAGAAATTATTTTCTTTTCCCAGGACCTATAAGTAACAAGCAAGTTTTGAAAATAACTTGAAGTGATGGTACTAGTAAAAACCTTCACAAGGTGCTCCTGCCACACTGCTGTATTTCAAATTAATTAACCAAATACTTTTTACATAAAAGGCAGACAGAATACTATGGAAATGCCGCCACCGGCAAAAATCTGCAAAGCAAAGAGATCTGATGGGTGTAAAAAGTGCAGTGGCTGGGTAAGAACGGTACTGAAACTCCACTGCTCTCTCCAGCTGGAGTTTACAGAGTGATCTTCGATTTTCACTTTCCTCAAAAGCTGGAAAGGGTTTCTAGAACAGAAAAACTACGCAGCAGACTGCAGTAATCTTGTAAGAAAGCCAGGACTTAAAAGCCAAGTTCTAAGGAATTATTCCTTGTCAGTTCTTTGATTATGGATCTATCAAAGCCTGTTGCTTAAGGAAAAATTAGAAGTATTTTAAAATGTTTATTTACCCTTAATTATACATCCTGGTTTTCTATAAGATCACTGCTGTCCATGCAGTGGTAATATAAGCAGGTATTTTGTTCCGAAAAGGTGATTGCACAGGACCTACAGTTGGTGGGGCAATTCCACAAAAAATTACTATGTAGCCTGATTTTCTTCATGCACAGCAGTCTAAGAGGAGACAATCTGTCAAAAGATAATTCTCTAGTGGCTTCTGCTGCTGGAAAACTTTTTGAAGTGACACCTACAGAACACAATTTCTCTTCATTTGTATCTGATTTTAGAAAATAAATTCATTTTAAGCTAATTAAAAAAACCCCAAACAACAAAACCACCAAATCACAGTGTTTAAAAAGTCAATGGAACCTGCTTTATAAAGTTATTCATTTAGCTTTCTGAGAACATACTGAAAAATGGCTACAAATCTTGAAGACTAGAGTTCCACTGAATGGAAATTCTCTACAGCCAGCTATTGTACCAGTACAGCTGCAGGCATGAACTATGACAGGCAACAAAGCTGCTTAATACATGGTCTTGTGCTGGCACAGAATGTATTATTCAAGGACTTTAGTAACAGCCTGTGCTCTATCTAGTTAAGGAGACTTCCATCCCACCTAACTTTTTTGGACTTCAGTAAGATACAGTTTGAAACCAGGAAAATTCCTTACCAACCAGATCTCTGAACTTTACTTAAACACCTTTTGATTAAAAATATAAGCAGTAGACATACAGAACAGTCTTATGTTAGGTCTCCTGTTCCTTGACAGTCAAGTGCAGACCTCCCCTCTGCTTCTCCCGCAAGGCACAGGATGGACAAGGGACACATTTGGTATGAGAGTGGTCCAACAATTAACTACAGATTACCTGGGGAAAAAAACCCCAAACAACAGTCTCAAGAGAAAATTAAAGCTGATAAAATTTACATATTTACATTGCATATAAAATGAATATTCAAGTTATAGCAAGCACCTGAAGTAGATAGTGACAGGAAGAAAAATATGGAATGGCATTTTAATCAGGGATAAATGCCAGAATTAGAGCTGAATACTGTTTTACCTAGGAATTGCCAATGGTCTGAACTGTGTAACAAAATGGCAGATAGATGTGAGTTCAGACGAATGTGACAGATGTCAATGGAAAAACCAATGTGTAATTGTACATAAAGAAAGAAAATGAGTTAGTACAGTGAGTAATCCATTTTGCCCACTATGTCTTGGCAAAATATTATAGGCGAGCCATCTGCTTTACACACAATACCGATAAAAATTATAAACTATTAAATGGGTGATACCAGGAGATACAAACAATATCATGATGTTATAAGCTGACACTACTGAACATGTCAGTGCCTGGAAGAATGGTCATCCTATTTGGAAAAGAACCCTGAAGGAAAAAAAAAAGCCCAAGTAAAGCATTACTTTACAGGTCTAATATATGATACCAATTTTGGAAATAAATGAATTAGCATCTACAAATTAATTTCTCTCTTGAGAAATTAACTACTGCAAGAATTATTTTGTAAATGGTCATTAGACACCACCCAAACTTTCCTTCCAAGATAAGCTATATTAATTCCAGAGCCCAAGCTAAAATTGCCATAAGGTTCACTGTTACTGTCTGTTAAATTTCCTCTCTAATTTCAGCTGGAAAGTTCCTTCTATTGTAGTGTGTCGCCCATGTCTCTCACTGTTTTTGTTGCTGTATTTACAGCAGTTATGTTTCAACAGCAATTTAAATAGTTCTGATTTATTCAAGTTTTCCTTTAGATTAAGTAATAGGTGACAGACTTCTCTAAAACTTACTAAAATAAAATAAAGATTCACAAATTGTTTGATCCAAGACATACCAGAGAGTACTTTTATAAAGGAGTCAGCATTTCAATATAATGATTTTCCTGTCCTAGAATCTCCTGGAAATGCTTCTGAATCACAAAACTTCTTAATTGCACATGACTTGTGTTCTTATCAATAGCAACGATTTTGCTGCAGGTATGACTAACATCCTCAGGAAGAATAGGATTTTACTATTTTCCTCGTTTTCATGTTACTTAGTAGAACCACTGAGCAATTTATTATGCTAACTATTAAGTCTTGAAAGCCTTGCAAATTAAGACTGGAGCACAGAAGTGAACCTCTGTGGGGGTATGCTGTTGTCACTGGGACACTGTAGAAATCACACCTAGTAAACCTTCAGATTGCCAACTTGTCAGAGACTATAAGCAGGTAGGAAAATAAGCTTAAAATTGAAAGTAATCTTGAGAAGTCAGGGAACCAATCTGAAAAAATACAATACAGTAAGAAAAGGGTAAGCATGAAGGAAGTTGATCACATAAAGTGAAGATGGGGTAAGTGCTATGCAGGGTTCTGCAGGAAGGATCTGGAGGTTCATGTCTAGAAAACTAGGCCTGAGTTAAACCTTGCAAGAAATCCAAACGTACTGGGGTTCTTAAAAGGGACTGCTACATGAAATACATCTCTATTCTACTCTACTCAGTGTCAGCAGAAACAAATCTGCCCAGGTTCACGCACAATGCTTACAGATGGACATGAATGAAGTGGAGAGGGAGAGCATAAAAGAAAAATAAAAACAACCAGAGGCCTTAAAAAAGGAAGAAGATTGAGAGAACTGGATGTGTTTAGTCTAAAGCTGACTTTCTAATGGCAAGGATATTTAGAAACAAGACTGGTTTTGGAAGGTTATAGAACTCCACCTCTGAAGGTTTTCAGGCATGAATCATGACAAAAATCAGATAAGAAGGTTTCAGATTAAATTGCATCTTTTCTGAAGGAAGTGGGATGGACTAGATTAGCACCATTATCCTACTCTCAAATTCCTGAAAAACAATATAGAGGAGGTCAGTACTCTAGTTCTAAACATGTAGCAGCTTTGGGAAGTACCTTTTCTGCAGTGGCCCAAACACCATACCCAATTACCTCCATGTATCAGTCACAGGAGCTTGCAATATGGGCTGGAACAGATTTGGAGAGATTATCTCGATGTTCTTTTGCTCCAAGGGAGAATCAACTATGCCTAAACCATTCCTGAAAGATGTGTTTGTAATTCAAGGTGACCAACCTGTGGCTTACAAGCTCCAAAGGGTTAAATCTCATGACCAACAGCAAGGCTGTCTTGGAATGGAGCAGTAGGATAACCTGAAATGCCAGCTGTGGTGGAAGCAAGTGAGATACTGAGACCAAGACTGCTGAATCATCAGAGCCAGGTGGTTAGCCTAGTCCCAATCTTGCATGGTGAAATCTAAGAAAAAGTTGCTTTTATCAAGTGCATGTGTACTGCTCCTGTAGTTTCTCCTCCTCTTCGCCTACAGTGTACAGAATATGCACCCACAGCTGTCAGTCAAGAGAAGTTGTTATGAGCATCTTGTGGGGGTCTTGTAAGTCTGTCATCCTTGGTGTAACCTGTCCTATAAAACCTCAGTGAGGGACTCAAAATTATCTGGTGACTATCTCTAATTCAAAATGATCAGATCTTTCTCCTATCTTCTCACTTCTAGACTGAAGAGTCCCCAATTACAGCAGTCTTTCTCTTGTGTTTCCTAAACCTCTGATCTTCTCATTACTAAAGAGTCCTCTCCAATCGACCCATGTAAACCCATATCTAACACCGCTAAAAATTATATAAAGTGCAAATTTCTCAAAAACTATGACAAACGTGTGTACTGTCAATTTGACGGACACTGTAGTTGCTGAAGCATTGGTTCCCTAGGCATGTAATTCTTCTGTCATCAAAATTAAAAGGTACACCACAGTCATTACACTGCCAATCTTCTTTTAATAGTCATATATAGGATATTAGCTATGATAACAGTGGTACTCCAGGAGGAGAAATCGACACAGGGACACCTAATATCAAGGTATCACATCATAAGAATCAGTCCCTCTGTAGCAAATATAAAAGTAGCATATCCCATGGAAAACTCAATTTTCCATATATCCATAAAGCTTTATTCATGAAAGGGAAATATTTGTTTCTCCATATATACATTATGTATTAGAGTTCAAGCCAGAGTAAGTTTTCTAATTACTTTTCAATATGATTTCCTTAAGCCTGTTATCTGTGAACTGTAGAAGAATGAGTTAAACCTGTTTCATAATTTAGTTTAGTCTTCAAACAAAAAAAAGCTATTTTGGTTCTAACCTCTGAAAAAGTATATGGTGTAATGTGGCAAGTGTTAACATAATTAAAGAATACTAGTTATATACAGACACACACAAAAATGGTTCTTAGAGCTTACATGCATTGCCCTGTTCTGCAGAAGTGTTTTTGTAGAGCCTTTTGTCAGTATCAAAGACAAAATCACACTACCACTAAAGACAACTTATTTTTTTGCTATTGATTTAGGTGATAAATAACAGGAGAGAAATGTGTTGCAATTAAATTAAAAACACAGGAGAAGAAACAAGTATTTCCCTTTATTAATATATAACTGTTTACCATACAGACTATCAATATGTACACGTACATTAAAGATTAAATATTAGCACTAAGCAAATACTCTATCATAAAGCAATTTATATTGTTGTAACTTATTTGGAGAAATATAAATTTGAACCAGAGCAGGAAT